ATCTTTTTTGATCTGTCGTTCTCTAATTAGCTCTTTTATAAGCAGTAACTATTCTCAATACTTTATTATGAGTGTCACTATCAATTACCGTCTTTTATAATTATGACTACCCATGGGATTGACTTTCTCAAAATATTTTTATATATTAATTTTGTAATTTAAAAATCAACAACCCTAATTTAGCCCTAGGCAATCTGTAGTTAAGAGCTCGTTTGATGCCGGAACTTTTACAATATACATAATATCCAGTTTAGCGTCAAGCTATGTACTTATATTGTTTAATATTCCTACAGTATGTGCTGTGATTTTAGTGTGGTTATTTGATAGTACAACATACACGCATACATGCAGAGGCAAATCAGGTCACTACAACAGTCCACAATAGATACCGATGTTAATAATTAATAATATGGATAGTGCACGTGAAAATATAAGAAATCAACAATTGAAATATCACTAAATTAATTAACTGGAAATGCACTTACATATACTACACATAAACTATACCAAACACAACATTGATATGTTTCGTTATGTCATCTAAAGTTCTAATCGACTTATGTGTGATTTAAGTCGTGCATTATTGAATATTATGTTTCATCGTAAGTATTATAACAGAACTTGAAACTCAAAGTGTTCCTGATTGATGACCACGACCACTCTATTAAGAGTGAAACAACTTACAAGAAAACGTGTTATAAATACTTCTTCTGTACTTACAGAGAGTAACACGGAATATGATACACATAAAAACACATCGAACTCTATTACTTAGCACTCAAAGTGGTTGCTTTTTTGTTACGATATTTATTTTGAATAGCTAACATTTTATAGTATGAAAACTACTACTTCATTTTAATGTTATTAGAAGGTATTTCAATTGTTCTAATGGAATCTACCGAAAGCCGTTGCATTAACCTAATGATAAGGCGCCGCAATTGTCTCTGGTGTCAAGATTATTAATTAACCTCGTACGAACGCGTTATTTGCTTAAATACAACCTTAAAATGGTCGTTTGTCGAGTGTCGTGTATGTGAATTGTACACGATAATAATAATATTACCCATTGAATAGACGCTTTCAATTCTCGTCATGGTAATATAACGTGACTTATGAAACTTTTATATAAGAAATTCAGCTTTCGTACGCTCGTGTGCTACGAAAAATACTTTAAAGTTCATTTAAAATATCTTTCATAGTAGTTTTACACTATTGCAATATAATACAGTATATATACATAGGCATAACTAGTATATATACATATAGTGCTACTTATAAGCAAGGTTTAGCGTTGGAGTAAATTGACGCTGAGACTGCTCTTCGTATTGGTCAAAATTCATATTATTAAACAGAGCGGTTAGCAAAAGATAACCTAGTATGAGGTTCTACGGGAGCAATATCTGCTCCTAGAAGGTAGTAGATTTGCTTATTCTCTGTGGAATATGATTATGGACTAATACTAAAACTGCAATTTTAGCATAAATTTACTCTGATGTTAAACCTTGGTTATAAGTAGCACTGAAAGTGTAAAATAAAAGATATATAATTTATAATAACAACCAATACTTTGATAACAGAAAATATTTTAAAAGGTTTTTTATTCTAGTACATCTTTGAGAAATTTTAATAAAAATGTTAAGGCTTCTGTTATGATATCCGATTAAGTCGATATTGTAAAAATGTGTTATATTCCAAAAAAATACTGTAACTATGAATAGGCTGTAGAAGGCCAAGGTTACCTAACATTTCCCACAGCATTTCAACACATTCTCATTGACACCGATTTTGGGAACAGAACATAACATAACAAACGCTCATAGTCAGCGACCAAACGTGGGAAGCGCGCTCGGTGGTCGTTGGGCGGCGCGGCGAGTCTGCGCTTACGCAACTCAATCAGAATTATGTTGACTTATTTGTTTACTTGATGACGTTTGCGGTTGAATTCAAGAAAAGAACATTATTGTCTTTACATATGATATGATAACAAAGGAAAGTAAGCGCTGTAAATAAAACAGTATAAACTGTCCCGGGTTTGGTGAAATTCGTTTTTTGTAACATAAGTATCAGCTTAAAACTGGAAGTCATAAAAACATTTTGGAATTTTATTGACGTTAAATATTTCTACTCATTTCAAAGAATCTCTAATTATATGCTCATTCGGCAAAGAAATGTACTAGAAACTTCGATATAGTTTCTTAGTCTAACTCTAGAACACTCGTTTCACTGCATTTTCTCGCCAGTGCAGTGCACGTTGCACAAACGGTATTGCCCAATGTTGCTGTGTTGAAGAGAAAACGTCTTTTTTTGAATATTTTAAAATCTTATTAATAAACTGAAAGAAATATTAATGTCTTTTTATAACTTAACAGATCTCACCAGTTTGATGTTGTTTTTATCAAACTAGCAAAAAAGGTTTAGTAAAGCGCATGTAATATATAAATATGTCTAATTGTTTAGTATAGTATGACAATATATTTATAAATGAAAATAATGAAAAAAATAAGCATCTTCTGGCAACATTATATTATTATTCAAAGACCCAAAAGTTTCGCGATGCTTATTGTCGCAGGGAGGTATTCAAACATGGACGATTTGTTACGCAAATTGTTTGACTTGGCAACTGCAAATCTCGTTTAATTCTCTTAAGGGGTGAATATAACTGATACTAAGGATAAATAAAGTCTTTTGTCCTCAGAGCGCCGTTACGTAAACTCGAACGGGAGTTTGGGTAATTTCTCTAGCTCATTATCATTGATTCATCGATTAATGTAATGAGCCCGCAGAGGTAACCCACACCTCGTATGAGGATCTCAACGTCCGATTCAAATAAAGCCTATAAGCTCAAAACATATGCAGTAAATATTATTATCAAACAAAACCGGATAACTCGATCGAATAAAGACTGAACATCAATGCGAATGTGATTGATCAACATCTCCCTGAACTCAGTATTCTAAAACTGCGTATATAAATGACTTGACGCCATCTTAGTCACCTAACTTAAACCTCGACGTAGCAGCTGTCGGAAGCGGCGGTGTCCCGGAAATAAACAGCTGTCTATCGCCCCGTGAGCCTCCACTCAATAAAGATTAACACCCTACACCCCCTCCCCATACATACCAATCTAAGTTAAAAATCTCTTTTATATATACAATTATATATACTACTTTATGTGTTTTATTAATAGCTAATGAATCAAAAAAGCGACCTCCTAATATTAGTCCCTGGTCAGTCAGTCTACAGAACGAGAACTGGATACTTACTGTCAGATTTGGGGAATATTTATTTACCCGTAACGCATAGATGGATACTTATTCGCTTACATTCAGGTTAAGTCTGGAACCACATTACATTCGTTGCTCAATTTTTTTAAACACTTAGTGCATTTACCAATTCCAACTAATTTACTTAAAAAGTAAAAAAAAAAACTTTATTTTTATGAATCTTATATAATTCCACCGATTGATGGCTGATTCTGACCTCAACGAATGCTGAATCGAGATCAAATGTCACGGTGTGTTTGTGAACTGTGGCGCCATCTTATACAACTCATCTGCGCGCCTTCCGTTTTTGGATCAGATGAATATTTGTTTTTCAAAACGTCATATAGTCATAAAACTAGCAACCTATACACTATATGGGATTTACATTGGCGTAAATTATAATTTCTTAACTTTGCAATTTCTAAATAAAAATACTCTAGTACTTTAGTTAAATATAGAAAATAACTAAACCATAAATACACGAAAAAAATTCAAGAGCAATTATTCTCATTCTACACTTTCCCTAAATCTTTTTTCCTATCTCGCATGTTGTACGGTATTTCATCCGCATGAAATTCCATTTCTTAGAGAAATTTCAGGAAATCGTTTGTTATCGGATACACACCCCCCGAAAGAGGAACCTATACGCCAACATTTACGAGTTCCTGGTAAGATGTCGTGATAATCGAGTCGGCCGATCACCGGGTAGGATTTCGTTTTCATTTTCATTTTATTGCGGTGTTACACTGCATGGAGCTAAATTTCTTAATAATCTGTAACTGGGCTCATTAAATTGTTGACCGATATGGGGTTGAAAGATTTTTTTACACATACCTTCAGCTTAAATATCCGATGAGAATAGATGGAATGGAGCTTACATACATTATATCTTTATTTAATCGGTCGACTCTCAATAAAACATGGAGTCATTTTTAAGCATAAACTTTTTCATAGTATGCAATGGACTAGATATTTATAGGCGACACTCACTGATTATTGTATATGCAAACAATAGGAATTACCCTTGAAAAGAAATGTCCCTCGTATGATAAAGCTATTAATCTGGCCAGATGCTAAGTTGCCGTGTGCCTTATGTCATAGTAATGTGATACACATATAGTACCTTCAAGAGTTGCATGCGTAGCAAATAGCTGATGATAGCGCCAAGTAACAAACAAAAGATATTAAACTGACACCCATTACTCTGTTCAAAAAGCCAATAACGACAAAAGCAGCTAAAAATAAATAATTCAGTTTCGTTTTTTCGTGCAAAATTGATATTTAAATACGTAGTAATAAGTTATTTTCGAAATCACTGTTGTTATTTTTAATTTGACTTACGATAGCACATATGCAATATTAAATATTTATATGAACTGCGGTGATGAAAAAAATAATTCTCATAACTATTAAAAATACACGTTTTGCAACTTAGAAAACAGCAAGGTCGTATTTAGAAATCCAATATTATTGCAAACAGTTATCTCTTCGGTTCTCTACGTTCTTTAGAAATATAATCTAGGTACAAATACGGATATGAGACCTAAGGGGCTTCAGCTGCTAACCAGCGTTGTGTATACTCTTAATGCCTAACATTATGCTGAACTGCTAACTCGTTTGGCACCTACTTTAATTACGCTCATTATTTATAATTTTTATTCCTTTCTATATCTGAGTTTGCTTCGTTGAACAGAGTACAGGTATATGAGCGAATACAGATCCATGTGTATGACTCACTTGTGGTGACACCCCCAACATCTTGAGGCTGGGCGGTACGTTGGCGAGGGCGGGCCGCGGCAGCGTCACGTGACCGAAGTTCACCGTGAACGCCTCGCACCACACCGCGAAGTGACCGATGTCGAACACGGTGAGGTCCTACAAGTACCAACTATAGTTAGTGATACAAATTAATAAGTAAACAATTGTTCCAATCATCTAATGTTAATGGCATAGGCACAAAAATGAATTGCTAAATTTAAATTGAAAGCAAATAGAAGTAAACCGAGAGGACAAAGGGTTCTCTACATCCAGACCAAAATATCTGCCGTAAACGAACCGATGACATTGTTTATGAGGGTTCAAGAAAAGAATTCAATTTTGATACACACAAGAATAAGACATGATATACCGCATTAATGCGTTCCACTATTACAAATAAAAATAAATTGATATCTTTTTCCACTATTATATTATATCTTATTTGTACACAAACGTGTTTTCGCTCGTCCAAAAGTAGTTCAAACGAACAACTGTTCAGAGATTATTATATGATTTTAAGGAGCGTTATGTTAAAACCAACGGGTAATTATAAACAGGATAATGAATAATTATAGACTATTATAAGATTTATCGTAGATATTTAAATAAACAATATTATAATAATAAGAAGACCAACGCCAATTATGTTGAAGTTCTTTTTTTATGGACAAGTGGTCTACACTCGCATCGATATTTGTAAATTATGTTTGTCAGCTTGCTCCAGAAGCGAGCACGTCTTAACAGGCTTTTAGGCATTAGCTTCGGGTAACTTCGATAAGAACTTAGCTCAACTAGTCTGGATAAGGTTGTTACTGGAAATACCGACTGAACTCTAGTAGTTCTTGGGGCTTTACGGAACAAATACTTAACTTACATAGTGAACGGCCACACGATTAAACTATCGATATGCATAAAGCTCCATTTCGTTTCTCAATCTACACCGTAGTTATTAACAAAAATAAAACGATAGAAAAGGGTTTCTGTGATGATCGCTCTCTCTCTGCATAAAGCATTTGTAATATAATCAATAACATTGTATGTATAATATGATATCCTACTCACCCCGGGTAGAGTCAACACGATGGTTTTCTTATCGTACTTCCGGAGCGGCGCCTCCTTGCCGTTCTCATCGGGTATGCGGATGCCTTGAGGAGACGGACTCTCACCACGACCCACCCAGAATTTGGCATCTGAGACAATATTTTATTATAAATAGTTCATAATCTCAATTCCTCGAAGGGTCAATATACTGTTTCATGGATTGAGTATGTATAGTCAAATTTCAGATCTGAAAAAAATATAGATTACGTCATAAGTAACTTATATGCGTATATGAAATAAAATACACATATAATTTCACGATTATAAAAATTATGTAACAGAACAGGCACTAATCGACGGGAATGTTAATGTAAAACCCCACATAGCAATTTTCTCTGATCGTGCAACTTTACTTATTTTTCTTTTCTGAAGACCCTTTTAAATAAACAAATTGACTAAGTTTTTTGTTCAGCAAAGAACGACATTTTAACGTTATTATCACGTCATGGAAGAATTGATATAAGCGTGCGCTAATTAAGTTGCAAGCTTACAACACAGCCTAAGCCGCACGATTTATTTTGCAACCGCGGACAGTCTCGAACGTTTAAATACAGTTTTATTTTCGCAAACTGAGCAATTATGTGCTTAACAAAATTATATATTTCTTGATAGTCGTATCGCCTTTCTAATTTGATCGAACAAAACTGATTGGATACAATTATGATTAAAAGCTTAGCATCGTAACGTAATCGAGATATTCTTTACAGGCATAAACCAATTCTTATTATAGATCGCCATCCCCTACGTCTGTGTTGTCCCTACTGATGGGGCAAATGCTTTCATTATATTCGACGACATGGGGACAAAGGCTATAATAGAACACATTATAAGGATTTAGAATTCAAACAGTTCCTACTTTCAATTGTGATAAATTGATCGCACTAATATGCCCATTGTATTACACTGCATTACGGTACAACAGCAGAGCTACCAAAGTATATGTAGCATCTGAATTGTGAGCGACTTTCTTTCCAATGTCCGCCACAAAACGTAACCAAACGTTACCTTCATCACTGTCACTCATGTTATATGAAAAAGAGATAGATTTAGTAGCTTAGGGGGAGTAGATAAGGCAGTACGAGCGGTTGGACCATCTTAACGACCAACGCAGGTACAATCGTATACCCTAAGCAGGAAGTGATCAGGAAGTCGTCACGGAGGTTGTGTAAGATGATCGATCATGGATGTGGGAACCTGTAAGGGTACGAATGAATATTTAATGATCATCACTTGTTGCTACGTGAGAAGTTAAGCGTTGTGTTATAAATATAAAGCACGTATACACTATCGACTATCCGACTATATTTTGCTATCATTTAACAAATTAAAATTATTGTAAATCCATGTGTCGTTTGACAACTGCCCCCTCGCTCTCCGGATCCCATGAGGACTAAACTATATAACAATGTCGACCCGCTGCAAACTATATAAAAAGTAAGCAATTCATTATAAGAGAATCACTAAAACGATCTATGAATACTGCGGTAACCTGAGGGTACAGTAACAAAAACAATGCTTTGATTTCTTCAAAAAAAAATATTCTTGTCTTTTGAGAGGATGAATTATGTGTATTATGTGTATTTGCAGACAGGCAGACAGATAGTGATATAATCATTGCAATATCTGATTGATTCTGCAACTTTAACGTTTGACGGGGTCCTGCCTTTTCGCCGAAAATTATTTTCACCTATTTTTCACTTTGACAACTAACGATTAGCAAATTTTTGAATGACAACATTTCATTCGGTAGAATTATCGTTAAGCTGATAATTATTAAGACAAAAAACATTTGGGATATTTATCATTTGTCTAATCTTTCACTAGATCACGCAACTTTTAGACCTTTCTTTCCTTTTTCATATATTGATAATTTGTCATTTTTTCCTCTGAGTATGTAGATCCCATCCTCCTTAACCATCCATAAGGAAGGCCTGAACCCCTGCAGTGGGGACGTAAAAGGGCTGGTGATGATGATGTAGATTTGTGTTCAAAAAATTTGTCATAACTATAGCATCAGAAAATAAAAAAAACAAAATCATTTATTCAGTCTAGGCTGTTACAAGCACTTGTGAAAGTCGAGAGCTACGCCATCGGTTCGTAAATCTACGGCGGGAGACCTTGTACCGAGAAGAACCGGCAAGAAACTCGGCAAGGGCTGCTTTTTTCTCCCTTTTTTATTTCATACAGAGCGTCAAGATTGAAAAATGACTTCATTAATATTTGAAATCACTTTCCATTACAATATTACACAATATTAAGAGTAAAACAGTATTTTCCTCAGAAGAAACATATAGGTTAGGTTAAGTTCGGTTAGTATATGATAAACAAGCCGAGCGTGCGTAGCGAGCGTACCGCGGCAGCAGCTGTCGGCGAAGTGCCGGAAGCAAAGCAACAACAAGATTAGTTTAGGTGAAATTAGGTGTGACAACGAAGGAAGAGAAGAGGAGCGTGTGAGGTTGACTGTGAACTAACCAGAATCATTAAATTAACTAATACGATATTTGGTAAACAATAAACAACTTAGTGTTATTACACTGACTAAAACATTTACTACTTGAAAGTTGGCATTTTATAAAGTGTCAATATAAAAAGCACACGAAATGCACAGTTAGGAATGGTGGGGTTGGGAAATAAAACAAAATTATATGATTAGTTAGCAAATAATTATTTGGCGAAATAAAATTCTATGAAACGTAAGTGATAATCAGCCAAACAATTTTTGGCGAAAAAGCCACGATTGACATACAATAGAGATTACATCAGATTTAGGCTTGCAAAAATAGAAAATTCAAATGTAAATTAAAATGAGATTAAGCTATTTGATGCCACACACTGCAAATTATCGCGCCCACCAGCATACTGAAGCAGCAATAAATAGAACATACTTTATAACCTAAAGCACCAACATATGAGTGAGATATAAGCCCTAATTAATCATCGGCAAAGCGACGAGGCCGTAAACCAATCTAAATGACGGTCAACAATACATCGCACGCCATAAACGGTACCATAACTCATACGTGATGGGTAAAAACTCGATAGAAACAGCCCATAAACGGGGATTAGCGATAACACGCTATGTCTCAATGGCGGACCTCGACACAGCGTACGAAAAACAGTATATATTAATTTTACTAGTCATGTTTGTAAATAAATTATAATTATAAATAAGTACAATTCTATAAAAACTAATCAGAATAGCGTTATTATTACGCGTAAAACTTGGATACACTTAAAAAAACGTATACACTGTGTAGCTATGTGTTTGATAATATATTTTCTTTTGTAAGTTTAAGTAGTTTAAAATGTAAAAAAAAAAAGCTAAAAATTGTACACACATTTGGGCTGTGTATGATGGTACACTTGATCTCTATTTCCTATGCACTAATGTTTAAAATCAATAACACAAAATTATTTAAAACAACAAATGAACGGGTAATACAATTCAATCTGAAATTCGGGCTGTTTAAATTCTCTGCGACTCCTTTAATAAAGCTATTGCAGGAATGCGATACGCCTTCTAATATCAGCGAAAACATTAGCTATGCGAGCTTCAGCAAACATACACGACGCACTACAGTAAAGTGGCCGTCTCATAAGGATAAGAAATAGGCATTATATTGAACCTTAATGTATGAATAAGAGAGTTAAACTTTACAGTGCAGCAAGTCTTGCAGGTGCTAACTAGATGTGGTAGTTTATATTTGTAGCAATGGACCTCTGAGACGTAACGTCTGATTCTACTAAACAACATATCTAATCCAACTTTTTAAAATGGATGTACTAGAAGTAAAAGTAGGCTATGGCTCGGCAATGCGCCATTTTGCGAAGCTGTTACCGCATTTAACCGTCTCCGCCAGATTGGCGAGTGGCACCACCAGAAGATCTCTAATATATGAATTCTGCAAAAAACTCAATATGACTAATTGGATGTTCTGATCCGATAATTATCATATATTAAAAAACTAATGATGGCAATTTTCTTTATTAGAATTAAACTCGTAAAAAAATCCTCTCTAACAAAACAAATATTATCAAAGTATACTATAAAGTTGCTTACTAATACTTCATAAACGTTCTTGTGGTGTTGTGTTATTTATATAATAATAAGTTGTCAATTACCTATAAACTTATATTCATCAAATTTTCTAAAAAACAGTAACTGTGTGAACGCTTCTTCTGTAATCTTCCATTACAATATATAGGAATATGCACTCGTTTGATTGATTTAAATGTATCTGCAACAAAGTTTTTCGGTTAAAGTAACCATTACTTTAATCAAAAAACTCCGTTGCAGATACATAAAAAAACGTATATTATAATACCCGTGTATTTTCACAAATTTTGTTTCACAATGATACAAAATACTCTCGTAAAGATCACACGTGAAAATATTAAAACATGCAACTAATTTCAAACGTCCAGTTTTGAATTAATATTAAATCCTCGATCCATTTATTTTAAAAGGTCAAATATGAAAACGTTTCGATGATTTGGAAAACCATTAAATCACCCCCTCACCGTCACCACGTTTTGATTCATATACCCGCCGAGCTCGATGCAACAAAACGACATTTTCAATTCCATTACCGACCAATTAAAACACACGAATTGAAATAAAACAAAAAAGCACTATGCGACGCAAGCTGCTGTAGCATAAAAAAGGCAATACAAATCATTGAACAGTAGCAGTAGCATAGTTTCATTATTTTTCCTGTGAGTACTCTCATCCAGGAGCCCAAATGTGTAGTAATGAGCGTGTTCTTCGGAAAGCATTCTCGTGTGCTTAGAAAAGGACTTTAAGCCTGTTACTCATACTCAAACATGCTCTGCACCCGCGTATTGGGTTAAGGTACCTTCTTCTTATGTGATTCAATCTAAGGAAAAGTCAGTACCTCAGCAGTAGGAACGATAATCAGCTGATGATGATGATATTAACTACTGTTAGACTGACAAGTCCGTTTCCAGTCGGAAGTGGCATCTATATTAATTACTATACACATTCGTAATGCACTCCACTGCACATGGTGTGTTGTATCAATATAATTGGTTGATGCGGCGGGCATCGAACCGGATAGATAACGGACCATTGTCCGTAACCAAGCGAGCTGTCGCACTCGACCGCGGCGCTTTAATATCGTCATATTACTGTTTGACTTTTCAACAACTATTAATTTTTACATAACACATTGAATGAACCTAGCAACAATAAACTGTATTTATATGCACCTAATACGTATATAGGATAACCGACTGATGGAACAATGACGAAATGGATAGATTAAGGAAGGAACAGAAGGTACACCGATTATCCTGTGAAGTTTGCTGATATACAATAAGATTGCCGAACAGACGATTTCGATATATTTTTGTTAGTATATTTCCCCTTAATCATTTATATATACTATCGAAAATATAATTATTTAGATATAGATGATTTAATTAAAAGACACGTTAAATCTTTTGGTCTCGGCCGGATGTGCAGTACAACACCGTCCAACACCCATTGGTTCTGCGTGATGGTTTTATTGTGTTCTCCTACATGGCTCCTCTTTCGACCAAGAAGACCTGTGCTCCAACGACGAAAACATGTAGTTGTCAGGTATACTATTATGTGTTCTCACCTGGCGCTTCGCCGTCATACGAGAAGTTGGGCACTAGCAGTGTCTGCGCGTCCACCACCACCACCGCGTCTGAGGACACTCCGTGGACCCCCCGCAGGGCGCCCACCTTGGCTGGCTTAGGGAACTCCGCGTCACGGGGTATGGTCACATCGCCGAAATTCACCTGGGGAACGTCAGAATTGATCAATTTTCTGTATTAATTATTGTTTAAAGGTAACAATTTGTGTAAATACTGAAACCTGGAACTACCAGATATTAATAACTCTAAAAGGTAAGCTATATTGTTATAAAAGAAGTTGTGAATGTCGGAAGTACGGTCGCGGTACAATAAAGATATAAATACAAACACAAACATGTGCCATTCCTGACGGCTGAATTGTGTGCCATTCCTGAAATTTTGGTAGAAATCGAAAATATTTTATTATAATCATAAAGATCGTGAAGATTATCCATGTATCAGAGACAGTGTCAGGTTGTTCTTCCGTTGCGTCATAAATTATAGAAAAATGCGTTTCTTTGGAGTCGTATTAGCGTTTCGATAAAAGGAAAATTTTCGTTTTCGGCGATACAATACACTGAAAGGCTTTGTGATTTTCAGTGTTTTTCAAGACAAGAGCAACCACTATGTTAATAACGAAATTGTCACTCGCATTCTTAATGAAAAGGATGCATTTCCTACAACATGGCGTCCTGTTCATCAAACGTCTACAATCTGAAAACAGCCAGTGTAATATATTCAAATCATGCCTGTGTAAGCGTGGCATACAAGGACTCTCAACGCCCAGCACGAATTTATGGCGTGCTTGATAAACGGTGATCCGGACCGGGTATCTGCGGATCACTGGTGGCGTAACGCCGACACATTTTTGCATACAAAAATAGGTTATTTATCATATTGAATTCGATCTACGTGTGATACTACGAAGCAGAGAAATCACACGTGTAACGTAAATGGGTATTTTATTTGATCACTCGTTTATTGGTATTTTCACAAACTATTTCTATAAAATTACTCGGACTATGTTTTTGTCGTTAAAATTATATAATTTTATTTTTCAATAATGCCATAAAATTAACAACTTGTTAATCTGACGCTACGGAAATTCAAAACGAGTCACATTCAGTAATCGTGGTGTTGTCTAAATACACCTATTTTTTTAAATTTCTATACCTATTTAAAATTAAAACAATATAAAAAAAGAAAAATATGTCTTCCGTGCTTCTAGCCTTTAAAACTTCCTGTGCCGATAACAGGTTACATATTCACGATTCCACACTAGGTACCTTCCTACTGTGAGCCGAGTAAACTTGGCATAAATATCGGTCGTACTGTGACCCACATATTCAGCAAAATAGTCGAAAAACACAATGGTTTTACCTCGCGGTGACGCAACACGGCCGCAAACAAACACATACACGATATTATGTAAACAACCCGACACTTATAAAAAATGGAAACTGCAGATTATTTAAAAATATGAAATATTCCTTTTAAATAGACCGATTTTAACATTAAATGCTTTATTACTTAAAGGCTTTAAGGTAAAATTGATAGATAAAATCGATGTAGCTCGGTGGCGTAGTGGATAAGCGCCGCGGCCCGCGATCGTTGTTGTTAAGCAACTTTCGCAAGGTCACGGGATGGGTGACCAAAAAATTATTACTTCGAGCTACACCGTGCTTCGGAAGGCACGTTAAGCCGTTTTTCCCGGCTGCATTACAGTTGTTAATACCTTCCAATCCGCATCAGGCCAGCGTGGAGGAGGGTCATGGTCCATCCTCCTTAACCATCCATAAGGAAGGCCTGAGCCCCTGCAGTGGGGACGTAAAAAGGCTTATGATGATGAAGGTAAAATAATCATTTTTCCATATTTATAAAGATAGATTGATTATGTTACATTTATTTCGAACTTCCTATAACATAAAGATGATACGTAAAGACCGTACTTTGTGGCTTATACATGTACATATGAATACTAGATAACATCACATATTGCTATGATCTCACGATCTATTTTTATTAGTTTCAACTAAGCAACTTAAATGGTGCTACAGACCAGGACAAAAAAAGGTGGTACAGACCGAGTAGTCGTCGCACCAGACGCTGAACCACCGCACGTCCTTGAGCGTCTGTCCGTCGGGCAGCGATATGGTGACGCCCTCGCCGCGGTACCGCCGCAGCGGGCCGGTGCCGCCGCGCTCGTCGCGGAGCCGCGTCGCTCCCGTCGCGCTCGGGCTCTTCGATGTGCCCACGTAGAAGTACGCAGCTGTAAACAAATCAATGTTAAATCATGTCAACTGGCTTTCTTATTCTTCCTTCCATAGAAACCATTACTTAAGTTTTAATGGTTCACAAGTCAAAAAATATTATGTTTTTTTATATTGTATAAATATGAATTAGGTTGCTTTTGCATCATATAAAACAATTCGATAAGAGAATTCTAAACTGTTACAGTAAAAAGGCTATTAACACATTGAGTTTCTCGAATCAATTACGAGTATCAACGTGAAAGTAAGTCTTTTGTCTGAACCAGAAAGTAATATACGTATATAATAGTGAGTGATCAATTCAAGAGATGATTGAATCAAACTAACTTTCAATTACATAAACCATGTTAGCATACTATCTTCGACATGTCTTCTTGTTCATTTTGGAAACTATATATCGAATCACTAGATATCTTTGGGGAAATTTCAATATCGAGTTTTCTTTTTTTGGGATTTGAAATAAATCTCTCTTTTATACATAATGTTCTTATTCCTTTCATACTTAGGTATAATAATATTTTGCTTTAATTGTTTTTTTTTGTGATACAGTATATGTCAGCATAATATTCTATGAGACAAATTTGTAGCATAATTTTAATTAGCATCATGTTATAAGAGAACGGGTTTGAACAGGTCCCTCGGGAATTTCATTAAATCTCTATTTCTGTCATTTCCCTGCTAAGTCCACATTGCTTAAATGACCATTTGAGTAGCTAAAGGCCTTGTATTATAGAAATCTGATACAACGAAAGTATCACAAATACCCCGAACCAAGATTATATAAATAAATATATATAGTATACTATACTGATTCAGCACAGAATCGAACCTCAAACCATGAACCTGGCGTGTCCAACTGTTATATGTAGACTGATCAGAACTGTGAGTAAGTTCACGAGGTCATAATCAAACATCATGAAAGTGACGCGCGGCAAATGTTTGGGCCAACATTCGCGTCCCTCGTTTCAGCGCATTTCATTCATGAGCTCATATTACGGCGATGACATATATGTATATGCGATATGAGCTTACACGTCGTAGGTCAATTTAGCTCTTATTATTATTTCACTTTTCACTATGTGAATAAGTTATCCTATAATAATTAGATTGTTGTGTATTTGGACGGCAAATATCAAAAATTTCTACGTTATTCTGGAATGTTTCTTAGACCCTATATAAATGTATTTCATTAAAATACATAGCTAAAGATTAGGGTTAAGGAATCCAGTATTTATGCTTAAATAGTTATATTACGGTAAATAATGAAAAACAATAGTCATAAATTTTCATTTATATAAAGTAAAATGTAAAAGTCTGAAGAATGAAAATGTCAAACAGAATTTGTTCATGTAAATGCATATTCCAATAAAGCATTCCTTAACTTTGATATGAATGTTAAGTATGTGATTCAACAATTCCATCCGTCCGTTCAGACACACTCCGGTAATATTTTAATCAATCCCAATGTTCTATACAGGATTCCAAAATTTTTTAAATTGTTTGATTAAAACTCTATCTATTACTTTTTTATATTAATGGATTCGTTTACACATCTCAATATTAATGGTTCTAAAGTTAAAATGTTAGTTAGTAACCCGGGATTTCAGCCGCCAAAGGAAGTACTAATTTGTGTAGATTATAGAGCTAATAAAATGTTTTGCGATTAAAGTTATCTCTTTAGCTGTGTACACATTCCGAACTTTGTCACATAAAGAAAATAGCTATTGCAATATAAATTTGGAATATTCAAAAATGTCTTTTATTAATATAAAACTTCCTGATTATCGAATTCCCTTCACCGAAACAAACACAAGAGGGCAATAATGCATACCATGCAGTCATGAGAACGGCTAAATGAATCTCATTAGTTACGTAAACTAACGCGGGCACGAAGCTTTTTCTCATCGGAGGCCAGTGACATAACGACATGGTTAACTTAAATGAATTGTATTAATGGACTGAAAATCATCGACACCGACTATTAATTGAAGTAAAGATATTATAATATCATCATTTTTTGTATTTATTTTTTCAACTAAGTAACATTTAATTTTGAATAAAAGATTTTATTTTGTTAATAATGTTCTTGATTAAAGATATCCTTCCTCCGATCGATACCTATGAGTTACTCCGCTACACTGGTATTGAGTATATTTTTCAGCCGTTTATTGGGATAGCATCTGCTCCATTCAATTTCATTTCCGTCCAAATATCATGCCCAAGACAAGCGAATAAGCACATTACAGGATAATACTTAAAGTACACTTTCCTCAGCTGACGGGCAAAGTGCATTGAAAGATATAAAACAGTAAAGTGTTATTTAGTTAAGTAAAGATGTAGTCGACGTTATTGTGACGCATGTTCGTGTTACTTTAACAGGTGAAATAAAACTTGAGTTATGTGTGAAAGATCACCAGTAGGTACCTCAGTTCATTCGATTATCTGTAATTTTAATATTATAAAAGTTACATTTCGTTTTCATTTAGTTAATGAATTTTTTTCATTCCATTTTTGCATTCTTTTTGCTACGCAAATTCGTCCTCCCACGTGGTCCCTAGCACCCTGAGACGGGATCCGAACCCGTGACCTTTCGCAATCCGGGCGACTGCTCTAACCACTAAGCTACCCAGGACCTAACAGGACTGAAGAATTTTTCAAGCACTTCTTACTTTTTTCGCTACTACAGAGCGTATTCTCATCAATGTTCAGACCATCCACTCGACAGCCGAAAGAAATACAATTATAAATATTAAAATTTTCGATAAAGATGAAATTTTTTTCTAATTATTATATTTTATCAATTTCGCATTCACAATGCTATACTGAAAAATATTCTTAACGAAAAATGTTTAAAAAAACCACTTTGTCCTTGGCACCCTGAGATGGGATACGAAACTATGACCTTTCGCATTTTATAAGATGAATATCTATATCTTGCGAAGTAGACAAATTTATCGCTTTGCAATTAATAAACCCAACTGAACAAAACCATAAAAATTTGCTGTCTTTATGTTTTATATGGAACACACTTTATTATTATAGTTTATTTTTATTATAGTATGAGTAGGCGGAGGGAGGCTCACCGGGTCCTACTCCGTCGTAGTGGAATCCGTCTATGTAGAGCGTGCGCGCGTCCACCGCGTACACGGTGCCGCGCACGCCGTGGTGCAGCTCGGACAGCGGGCCCAGCTGCTTGCCCAGGTACCGGGCGCCGCCGCACACACCTGCAACAATACACTTATTGTCATATTGTCTATAAATATCATATAGGTAAGTCATTTTAACGAAAAAACACAACTTTACAAGTACCAATTACTTATGAGACATGACAGACGACGGCTGTGTCAGATCAACAGGTAAATTGCATTAATTATAGGCAACGGAGGCATTTCATATAATATATCGGTAATTACGAACATCGAGGATATCATCATATACAACTGCTCCTAGAACGAAATGGAACTGTGAAACTGTAAAGGATTTGAATTGAACTAATTGTACATGTATACAAATTTTATTTACCGCGAGTATAATATATACTAGCGTTTATTAACATTTTAAGAATGTTGATTTAAACTTTTGATTGACATAATCAAAGAGTCGTGTGCCATTCAGTACACGAACTCGGGCAAAATGCTTGTTGGTCTCCTTGTGCTACTGACACCGCGCGGTCTTATGAATCATTGCTTAAAATGTTACATTTGCAAATTGTACATTTGTATTAAAAGAAAAAAAAGCTATTTAAAGACATGAATGTGGACTGAATGAACAACACGTACATAAAAATAACAAATAATTATGTAAGCTTGTTTATTCCGATAAGTAAAGGTTAGCATTTAGATTAGGTAATGATCTCGAGGCATCATTATTTATATTTCTATATGTCATATTTTCAATGTTCTGTTCCCTTTCATTGTGCCCGACGTTCTCGCCAATCAAAGATAATACCTAAATAAACTATCTGTTCAAATACTCATTGAATTTTATTATTTTTGGTCAATTTTTCATTCGCAATCTTATACTGGAAATTCTTAATTATATGCCTAAAAATGCACTTTGTCCCTGGTACTCATCCCATCTCAGAGTACCAAAAACAAAGTGATGTTTTTAAGCGTCTTTCATTATTCATTTATTTTTTTTTTATATTAAAGATAAAATCACTTTAACCTTTTATAAGTGACTTATTTCGCTTTCAAGTTACGCAGATACATCTGAGTGTTTGTTACAGAGCCGAGATCATACGAGATGTGAGACAGTTACAAATAGCCAGCTGACTAACCGTAGAAAGTGCTTAAGAAAGTGGCCTGCCTTAAATGGTCAAGAAAAAGTAAATAAGTATGCGACCGGCCGCCAACTTTGCTACGCATCCGCCGACGACCGTATGCGTACAGGAGGAAAGGCTGATTTCCTTATTTATAGGTACAATAGATTTTGGTCCGAAACAATCAGTATCTGTAGATTGTATGAGCGTTTTATTCTTAGGTTAATGTTCTATATATTAGGGTAAGTACTTGATAATTATAACGCTTATGATGAACATTAACTGATATATTTTTATAGAAACAAATATGTACATTACAGTTCCATTGCAAGTAGATCACTTGCAAATAATTAGATTCATTTGTTTTTGCTAAGTAAATACATATTTACATATTCCTAACAACCCACAAGCTTTTATTCTTTGGCATTCAATATTAAATGTACATGACCTAATTGAAAATTTAAACATAGTAATTGGTGTTTTTTTCAACCATAAATCAAAGCGGATTAAGATCAACATAAAGGTTATAATATCAGATGGAGTGATAAAAGGCACGATTTCTTTAAAAAATAAAACTTAAGTGCATGGAACAGTGGCTTAGTGGCTACTAATGTTACTACAATGGCTGACGGGCGTTGCTTAACTCTTGGTGATAAAGTTTATTTTGCTGTATTCTAGTTTCATAAAGTACTTTCCATCTAGTTTTATGACAAGAACTATCATAGGGTTGACAATCATGTTATCATAGGGTTGTCATCTATATTTTATAAAATTAGTTTGGATTTATAATATCTACTATCTAATATCCCAACAACAATATTTCCATATTACTACGATGCTTCACAAATACAAATTCACTTACTTACATTTATAAATAGAGAAAAACATTACGGACTTCATACTTTTTGAAATCTCGCAAAACTTAATTGCAATAAATTACATGAGCTAATACATTTTATAAATAAAATTTTTATTTTCATATTTCAATCACACCCAATTACAAAAATATTTTAGTGAATCTGCAAAATATATTCACTAAAACACGGTTTCAATAAAGTATTATATTTGTATAACCTCAGTAATGTCTTTGCGAGGCATTCGTTACCGTTACGCAGCACTGTAAAATCATATTAAAAAAATTCGATGCAATTGATACTACAGCACAAAATAACACTTAAAAACAAATTATTCTTAAAAAATGTCTCAACGGTGAAAGTCTTACCTCACGACCCTTTATTAGAGATTAAATTGTTATCGAAATAAAGATTCTATTAATAAAAGCCTTTAACTATCCATTCTATAGAAATTTACCCCCAAAATCACACATTTCACTTACACGAGAACTTAGCATGTATGGATACATTACAAATATAATTGACTCCTAGTCGTCGTTCACTCGCAAATAGCAAACTTGAGTAATCTGGATTTGAACGCACGAACAGTCCACAATTCTCAAGTGTGGTATAACTTTGAAATGCCATAGTGTTTGTGAATTAAATTTTTCTTCCCTTGAGAGACTGTAAGGCTCTTAAAACTAAAGTCTGCGCCAAACGTTTCCAGTTATGACAACTGCATCAACACTGGGACCGCAACGTGAATACTGATTACAAATGCCTTCCGTCTGTTTATGACCTAGCAATATTCAGGTGTGCAAGATAATGTATGTTAATAAGAGCCATACGGTATGTCGTCGTCGTCGTCAGAATTCTTATAAATTGCCGCAGATACTATATAGTAGACGATCTCAGCATACAACATTACAGGTACACACGCCTCCCTACGCATCCTGAATGCTTTCATATATATATATTTTTAAAAGAGAAAAAATCAAAATATAAATATTCATCTCTAAGATACATATCGAATTCAAATTATGAATATAAAATATAAGAAATAAATAAAAATATTACTGCACGCTTTGCCGATGGACAGTGTATACGACGATGTGACATTATATTTACGCTTCTTATATTACATTAATTTTATTCTAAACGAGTTCTTTATGTGAAAATTTAAATATAATAAATTATTATTATTACACACACGCACACACACGCACACACACACAATTCGCGTCTTGCTGTATTTGGTCGAGGTAGTTTAATTTCAATTTTGTTTTATGTATTTGAATAATGAAAATCCGTAATTGGCATTAAGATATGTTAAAATTGTTCTACTATTATTAAGATAAGTGCTGTGGATTTTTTTCTTGAAATAAATAAATTGCATTTTAAAGTCCGTGCGCACACATAAATATTTTGTTGTTGCGGAAGTTGCGGAAACAACCCGCCGATAAGAAGAAGAAGGTACTAATTACAATAACTTTATATTGTTGTATAAGGTCGTTACGTGTAAGGTAAAAATCTATAGATATATGTTTTATAATACCTACATCACTTTTAGGTGGTACTGAAGCAAACAGCTGTGGCCATTGTCAGACATATATTACATTTCATTAACAATTATCAATGGTGGCGTTTACAGCATTCTATATTTGATTCCGATTCCGAATTTTGGGGCAGAAGTATCGGCAAATAATATAGTTCTAAAGGAGTCTCCATTTCTCGTCTCTGCTCTCCGACTATCACTGCTCATAACTAACAAATTTATGATCGACGCATTGAGAAAAGTAATAGTGTTTATAAATCAGTTTCTTGCATAACAGAACGACTTGAATAAATACATAGAATATTAGATAACGTCACATACTCAGGTCCGTTGCCGAGCTTGCGCACATGTCGGAATCATCGATCACTTCTGACTGTATGAATCGGCAAGTGAAAGGCAGCAAACTGCCTCCGATACATACGCGTATGAGTTTCAATATAATATACATGGGAGGCGAGAAATCTCCTGTGTATTCACTTTTATAATTATCATAAACATTAGCCTTTGTATTGTAGAAATAAAAAATGATATTCTCTTCTGTCCATACAAAGTACCAACCATACAGGTGCGATACAAAAATATGCGATTGTAAGTTCTACTGTATATATATTTTATGTCTATAATCTGATTTGTACAAATAAATAAATTAAATCAATTAATAAAAATTACATAAAATTATGTATGTTACGTTAGATAACATAATCGTTGTAAATCTCCTTAATTATTTAAATGTAAGCCCCCTCGCGACTCGAGTCTTCATGAAACCTATATGGATTTGAGCTAGTCGCAATACACTCTACTTTTACCACCATTGTCGTCTCGACAGCAGCCTTAGTTTATTAATCTATCAACGACCTTATAACAAAGTCATAAGTGGCATTATTGTTCCAAGTGTGCATGTAAAGCCTTTGATTCTACCCTCTCATCAAGCAGGCGAAACGAGATTAAGTTTCATGAAGATTAACATCAAATTTGTCCTATAACTGGCTTAAATAAAGCTCCTCGGTTGATAATGAAACCGGTAACTTTACACCTACCTACGTATCTTATCTTTTCAGACTAAGTTAACTATAAACTTTGATTTTAAAAATTATATACAGTATGTTCTATCTAGGTGTATTTAGTACGGTGGCCAATTGATATGCACTGCTTTCATTCCAATTATTGAATCATTATATAACAGCCAAACCGTGGTTATATATTTTGCAATTGACATTATAATTTGGCTTGAAGTTGGTTCGCAATACTTATTTAAACCTAGACAAATTAATGACGTCTCAGACAAGACTGAAACTCCTCTAAACCTAATGGTCGTGACTTTAATTAGTAATGGACATTGTGATTATTGTCCGCTATTGTGCGGGCCGTTAGTTGACCCGCCACAGTACAATTAATTACTGTTGACTGTTACTAATGTTACGTAAACATTACTATGGATAATCTCATTATATCTACGTCGGCATGACGATGTTATAATATTGATATTTTTATCAGCCTCTGCGACATATCAATAAAACTATAGAAACAGCCTTTGCTGCTGCACCTTCGCACTGCACTCCTACATTTATCTCACTG